CGGTGTCTCGGTTCAGTGTTGGTTCTTTATTTTCGGAACTTCGGTTTGGAGTTCGGTGTAAGGGTCCCGAAACTACGGTGCACCGAAGAACCGAAGTTTTATTAAATAAATTTAAAAATATTTAAATTATATTACTTAATAATACTTATATATTTTGACTCAAAATATTTACCTGGCCCATTTCAATTTTTAAATGACAAAACAGTAAAGTGTAAATCCTAAAGACCTAAAGTCTATGTTTTGAATGTGCTGAATCGTGTATCCAAAGAGATAGTGCCATTTGATGGTGTTGTGTTTTTCTTTTTAAAAAATGTGTGGACAAGTCTTTGTAGACCTTGTTTTGTGAGTAAAGATAACTGTTGCGTGCTCTTTACCATTTATCTGCATATGTTTGCTGATTTCGTCGCTGTATATTTAGTTGATCATTTCTGTAGCAACATGGGAGGGTAAATAGTCCATCTAATTAACAAATCCTTTGGCATCTTTGATAGCAACAGAAACAAAATTTGAATTCTTCTAGTTAAAGAATCATCTATGCTGCGTCTTCTTAATTGTAAATTAAACACATGAAACTCTTAACACTTTATCATATTCTTTCTTTATTTTTATTCACACCAAAAAACCGATTTAAAAATATCGAATTAAACCGAATCGAAATAGAAAAAATTGAAGCTTGCTTGCTTAAAAATTTTGATTTTAAGAAAATAATCTAAATTATTTTGGCGGGACTTTTAGTAGGATCGTGGGTCCCGCTATTTGCTTGACACGTCCGACGCCGGCAGCCGGCGTGGAGGAACTGCGGGTCCCTTCTACTTCTTATGCGCCCATGTGGCAGAGTATTTTCTCTCCGAAGCTATCAGCTTCGGCTCGGAGCCTACTTTTGAATATATTATCGACCGTTATTTCGACCTTAGAATAGTAAATTGACCCATAACTCTTCTTTTTTTTTTCCTTCACTTAACTTCACAAAGAAAAATAGATTAGACATTTCAACCAATAGAGGATTGAGACTTCATGAGAAGAGAAAAATATTTTTAGAAAGTCCCTCTTATTAACTAATACTAATACAATAATCAAATGTGTTATAATTCATGTAACAATCTCAAAAATTAGCTCATGAAATAAGAATTTATTTTGAAATCATAAAAAGACGGTTGATTACTCCATTCTACACTGACATGAACTTCTCACACCTCTCTTACGAGTCGCGCCCAGACTTGCCCACTAGAGCTAGGTTCAAATGTCCTGTCCATGAAAATTTTCTCTTTAATTTGATTCCTGTCATGTCTGAGAAGTATATACCAAATAGATCAACTTTTCTAATTGCGTTGCTGGCTCATTTGATTCTACTAATATGGTCTCTGTACAGATATGCAAAGGACACCTTTTTCACTGACATGCTCCCTTCCACCATATCTTTGAAACATTTCTTTAAATAGTAAAAAACCATCATCTTCTTGTTACAGTAACTACTTTTTTTTGTTTCTAACCAATACGACAATTTTTTATTTATAATTAAACCATAATACATAAACATGATTCTTAACTTGGTGTCAGCTGACAATTAACTGTGGGTGTGCACAAGGAGACACTTAAACTTGTCCAAAATTGAACAATTCGTCCTACATGGCAAGTTTATGTCCTACGTGTATTATGTCATGTAGGACATGTGTGTCTAATTATTTAATTTTATACAAGTTTAAATGTCTACTTGTGTACACTCAAAGTTGAAGGGTATATATAGTTATCTGCTAAAGCGAAGTTAAGTTATGTTTATGTGTTATGCCTATAATTAATATGGAGTACATAACTTAATTTTATTGTGAATAGTAGTATTAATGTAGATGTTCAAATATTAATACTTCACTAGTTAAATATATTGACGTGTCTAATATTATATACTCGGCTAGATTTCAAGGGTCCTCTATATGATATACATAAAAATTTAACATTGTTTTATTCCCAGTTAGATTACTAATTTTCAAATATGTTATTACAGAATTAGTAATTAATAGTATCAGTTTAAATTATTTATGCAGAAGGGTGGATCAATAGTATTAGGATTAATTAGTTAATTGGAAATAAAATGACAAAAATAGCCCAGAGTCCCTTAAATCTTTTTTCTACTAAATTAGATGGGGTATTTTGTAAATAAATAACTTATAATTAAAGATTATCCTACATGTTATTTTTAATACAACAAATCAAACAATCAATGAAAAGTAATATCATAATATATAACTAATCTCGTATCACTTTTTCAATTTGGTTGAACATATGCAAAGACTTATTTGGCCCCTAAAAATACTCTAATTTAGTTTAAATGCCACCTATATTAACAATTTACTATATTGTTAACATGTTTCCACAGCTAATCTTCATAAATTTCAACCTATATTTTATTTAAAAGGGATATAAGATCAACTAAGTTATAATATCCATTATATTGTGGAAAGCAAAAGGGAACCAACTTCCCTAGCTACCTTTTCTTCTCTTGTCAATCAAGAATATGACTAATTTAGGAAGAACTATTATTTCATGAATTAGGGTTTGGTTGATGATATAGACATTAATGTGGTGAAACTTTGGCTAATGATCATCAGGAACAACTGTTATAAATATATACTTGAAAGTGATTACATATATGACATTTTCCCTTCTTTTGGCTAGTTAAACTATTTGTATATATTTCTCCTTTTTGAATATGCATTGCACCTTTAATTAAATAAAGAGAAACAAGAATATAATTGTTAGATTTTGGAGATAGATCATGATGGAACTATGTTGATGAGACAATAATGAAATGATATATAAATAAATATTTCAATGTTATCCATGAACAAGGCAGGATTGAATGGATCCACAGTATTAAAATCTCACAGCTTAAGAAATGTCTAAAGAAAAATGGCTAAAAAGTAATCAAGTCTTGTACTAATTATTATACAACCACGTTATACATGTCTTTAAACATAAGTAAAGGCATCCACTTTTTATCCTATTTTTAATTCTATAGCCAACTTTTCTTTATCTTTCAAATAATATTTTGGATAAAACCACACACACACACACATATATATATATAAAACATTTGAGCTCCAATACATTTTATTGCCCTGGACTCCATTCATAAAAAGAGTGGACCAAAACTAAATTGCTAATAATAATAATAATGAACTTCTAAAAACAAAAACGAATAGAATATAATCTTCTATTATATTCATATTTAAGAAGAATAATAAAAATAGAAACAACTATATAAATACTATAACACCAAGAATAAGATTTAGCTAAGAAGAAAAAGAACAAAATAATAAATTATTTGATGTTTCGTGAGTTAAAAGTATATAGAGTATATGCATTAATAACACATACAATAAAATTAGAATATTCCACTATTACTAAGGTCAGTTATATGTATAATGAATAAATTAACTTCTTTTAAAAAAATTCAAACTTCGTTTTCAAGAAAATTATATTAAGAAAGGGATATTATAACCTTTGCAAATTTATATGATAAATATCTGGAATTTAATTTTTATCTTCATTTAATAATTTTTTTTTTTCAAAATGACCTTCACTTGAAATTTTTTGTTGGGGAATAATGCTTGATGGACAACAAAGATTTGTCCAATCAAACGTAAGTTCTACGATTTATACGAGAGAATTTGTGGTCAATGATCAGGTTCCCTTTCCATAACTTAAGTTTGATGGGCAACAAAAACTTTGCCAATGTTTTCTCGAAAGGAGAGATTATTTATCTTTTAAAAAAATTATTATGCATGATCAAAAATCAAGTTGATAATTATATGTATAACTAGGTTTTATTTTCCATGCGAAGAAAAGAGGTTTATGATATATTTTCTACCATTAAGTTCTATATCAATTTATTGTAGATGAATAAAATTGTGAGGAAGCAAAATTATATATTATTACATATGAAATTTGAGGTGATTAATCTCTAGATATAAAAAAAAATAGATAAAAGGGTTTAAAAGAGGACTAAACTGTACCAATATTATAAATATGTAGAACTTTTAGTGCTTCATATAAAAAAGAAGAACGACGACTGTCAATTTAAATTCACAATAAGAGATTATTTAAGTTCGAAATGAGGTTATGATTAGGTCCTAGGATAATCTTTAACTCTCAAGATGAGTCGGACTAGAATACTTATGATTTTATTGATCTGAAATGAGCATCGAGCCGTAATAATTAAAGTGGTGAAATTTTCAAAATTTATATATTTTGAAATGATCCTCGTCGAACCCTACTTGTTTGTTAAATTACACTAAGATTATTATTGTTATTGCATATTTTGAAATGATTTCTTTTCAAATAAAATATTTTATATATATATATATATATATATATATATTTCTTTTTTTTTTTTAAAAAAAAAAAGAGTTACAATTGTGTTTGGTCAAATCATTGGAAAAACATCAATTTCAGTATGAGAAAAATAATTTGCGTGTAACCCATACAATATTTCTAAAAATTGACTTTAACTTCTACTAAAAAATAAAAATTTAAAAAGAAGCAAAATCCTCTTTCACTTAGGCAAGAAATTAGAAGAAAAGGAAAAAAAATACTTATAAAAATAAGTACATTTGAAACAAAAATCTATATATATTAAAGGAAAGAAAAGAAGAAATAGAGGTACCAATAGAAACCCGAACCTTTCGGCTCGGAATGTGGTTTGGTATGTACCTATAGTGATTGTGTGTTAGAGAGAGAAAGAGAAAAAAAGCGAAGGTGGCCATGGTGATGGCGGAGAGACGAATAAACTTAAAACACAAAATAAATTTCATTTGATTCCAAATTAGAAAACAAAAAAAAGAAAAAGAAAAAATCAAACCCAGTTTTTCATCATAATTTTTTTTTCTTCCTCCTTCTATAACTGCCCTTCCATTTTGTTGTCGTTCTTCCCTAAAGATCCTTCCACCCATCTCTGTATATACATAATACATATATATGTATATATACATACATACAATGCACAGATATATTTTTTGATTCCCCTATCTTGTTGTTGTGATTTTTTATTTGTTGCATTTGGCAATGGGTACGGAAGAGGGGATTGTTCAAATTTCTGTGGCATCAGTGGTGGAGGAAGTTCTTCAACAAGGAAAGGGACTGAGCGACATTGATTTGGCTTCTAGGAAAGCTGAGGAAGCTTGTATGTATCTTTTATTCCTTTATTTTGCGATAAATCAATTCCTTTGTTTGTTGTTATGAATGTTTTATGTATGTATATTTCCAAGATTCTCGGTCTCCCGTCAATCATGAAACGAGAAAAAGAAGAAGAAAAATTCACCCATTCTCCAGGATTCTCGGTCTTTCTGCATTAATTCAAGAATGTTGGTTCTTTTTTTGTTTGAATTTTTTTTGGGATGGCGGTCTCGTGAATATTCTGGAGGGAAGTGATGATACAGGGTTGAGTTGCAACTCTTTAAAGGCATACACATTATGGCTTAAATTGGTTGATTTTGTTCCTTACACCTGAAAGATAAAATGAAAATATGGAATCAACTAGGGTTGTTGTAGAGTGGTAAGTATTCCTTAATCATTAACAACAAGGTTTCGGGTTCGAGTTCCCCTGGGTACAAAGTTGTCTTTGCTAGGGATTGTTTTACCCCCAATGTGGGCGGATTCGGATTTAGTCAAACTTCAACGTGGGCACTGGACACTAGGTGGGTAACAGAAAAAAAAAATGAAAATATGAAGAACCTTGCTGAAAGTCAAGATTGTACCCTGAAATATTTAGTAGCTCGATTCAAATGATCACTAAATATTTTAAAAGAAAATGATATCTGAGCCTGTTCTGTTGAGTGGCTTGTGTTGTAACTAATCCATAAGCTGGAAAACTTTTATTTTTGAGCTAGAATCTTCAGAGTTTCTTCCACAGGACACATCTTTATCTTTTCTTCTTCAGATAAACCATAATGTACCTATTATAAGATAAAGGGTTTAAAGTTATATGCACTTATATTGTAAGTGAGAATGTTTAATTGGAATGTAAAAAATGCAGCATTGAGAAGGTATGTAGCAGCAGGGTGGCTCAGAAAGACAATTGGAGTGGTTGCGGCTAAAGATTTGCCAGCAGAGCCTTCAGAAGAGGATTTCAGGCTTGGATTGCGTAGTGGAATCGTACTATGCAATGTTCTTAATAAAGTTCAGCCTGGTGCTGTGCAAAAAGTGGGGGTTTTGAAGCACCTTTTGATTCATCTCTTTCAATCTTTTATATTAATCAATTTCATCAAGTCAATGACGTGGTTCTACTTTGCTAATTAGGTAGTTGAAGCACCGCCTGATTCTGTTAATGTCCCTGATGGGGCTGCTCTTTCTGCATATCAATACTTTGAAAATGTCCGTAACTTCCTTGTAGCAGTAGAAGAAATGGGCATTCCCTCTTTTGAAGCATCTGATTTGGAGAAAGTAAGTAGATGATTTGGGGATAACATTGATACTTGTTTGTTTCATCTTGTTAGTTGCGCTCCAAGCTAGTCAATTTAACACTTAAAACCACCTCTTGAACCAGAGCATGAAATGTTTTGTCGTTTCCTGAATTAGGGAGGGAAATCTTCCAGAATCATCAATTGTGTGCTAGCATTGAAATCTTACTCTGAGTGGAAACATGGAGGTGGGAGTGGATCATGGAAATACAGTGGGAACTCAAAACCGTCATCTGCAGGAAAGCAATTTGTCCGAAGAAATTCCGAGCCATTCATGAATTTAATCTCAAGGACTTCATCTATCATCAACAAGTCTCCTGATAGCAGTGATGTTGGGCATGAAGCCCGTGAAATGGTTTGTAAGCTTGTTTTGTAATGTTTGGCATCTCAAAATATGTTTTGCGAACTAAATATCCTAATCTTTCATTTCCAGGTTAACCCAAGTTCCCTCCAAATGCTTGTTCACGATCTTCTCTCTGACAAGAAGCAAGAAGATATTCCATTTGTAAGTGTTCTTAGCTTGATTCCCACGAGAGGGTTTGATATGTTTCATGTATTAAGCACTTTGTCGCGTCAGTCGTCACTGCTACTTTATTCAGTTGGAAGGCATCATGAATGATAACCATCTTTCTGATTGTGATTCCCAATAGATAGTTGGATGGAAAACAATCTGCCTGGCTCAGAAATACACTTAATCTTCACAACATAGGCAGGGCTCTCATAATTAGCATATCTCTCTGGCTCCCCTGAGAGCGTAAAGGGTTAGTAAAGAATAGTAAATTTAGTCTAGATGGATTATTATAAGGTTTGAGGTTTATATGGACAGTAATGATTAGAAAGAGAAAGAAAATGTTTGGCATCACCCTAGAAAGATGTATTCTTTCAAGCCCAATGCAGTAGCAAACTACAATACTAGGTTGTCTGATTACTACAATCAGGTGCTCCCTAAGTTCTGGGGAATCTCTTGAGAGGAACATGGACTTGAAATTTTGGAATCTAGCTGACTTCTTCCTCTAGTATCCTGTTTGGCTAAAGAGTTCTCTGATCAAATAAAAAAAAAAGTTGATCCTCTGCTTATCTGAAATAAGTTACTCATTTTGGACAGATTGTGGAGAATATGTTGAGCAAAGTCATGGAAGAATTTGAGCATCGGCTTGCCAGCCAAAATGAACAGGTTGGAGCTCTTTCGTTACTGGTGTTTATTATTTTTCAACTTATTATACAAGGCACTTCTTCCAACTTCTTCTTGGCTGACAGAACAGATTGCTCTGTTTAGCAGTTGAAAAATGCTGAAAGTATCCATCTGTCTTTTCTTGCTTAAAGTTGAGTCTTACATACTTTTGGTGATATGACAGTCAAAGACCTCCCACAAAGAGACAGTTGTTCCAACAACCGATGAATCTCCCCTGGAGCTTACATGTGAGGAGACACAGGTCGCAATCATCGAGGATGAAGAAAAAACACCCGATGAGGGGACATGCGGCAGGGTAGACATAGATGATGATGGTGCATCAACAACACCGGTTGTAAGGCAGCTGATGCTGGTTGAACACCAACATAAAGAAGTACAGGTATAGGAGTTCTGTTGCAGATTTGAGAATGAAGTATGTTTAGTTCAACTGATTGATTGACATACCCTATTCATAATCTGTAGCAATTGAAATCTACTCTCCATGATGCTAAAGTAGACTTGCAGTCTCTTCAACTGAAATATCAAGAGGAAGTCAGCAATCTGGGTACTGCAAAATTGGACTGTTTCATGCTAATTGAGATTGTGACTGGATTTTTGCAACTAAAATCTCTTTTGAATAGGTAAACATCTGCATGGTTTGGCTCACGCTGCTTCAAGTTACCAAAAGGTTCTGGAGGAGAATCGGAAGCTGTACAATCAAGTGCAAGACCTTAAAGGTAACAATTTTTACAGAAAAAAATTAAATTTTATTGAATCCTGCTATTAGATTATGATGATATTAACCACTATTCTTTGGACAGGGAACATCAGAGTGTATTGCCGGGTGCGACCTTTCTTGCCTGGCCAACCAAACAGTCTAAGCACTGTGGATCACTTAGATGACGGGAATATTACAATAACTACTCCTTCAAAGTACGGAAAAGAGGGAAAGAAATCATTCACTTTTAACAAGGTCTTTGGTCCTTCTGGAACCCAAGGTCGCTAAGTTCCCGATACTTTTCCTTTTTCATGCACATTGTAGGTTTAGATTTTATTCTAACACCTCTATTTATGGCAATGCAGAGGAAGTGTTTGCAGATACACAACCTTTGATCCGGTCTGTTCTTGATGGCTACAATGTTTGTATCTTTGCTTACGGCCAAACGGGATCAGGGAAAACACATACGATGGTTAGGCAGTTGAACTTTATTACTGAACCCTTTAATCACATATGGATATCATTTGGTTAAGACTTGAGAAAAAAACAAACAACATTATGTTAATAGTTCTTAACTTCTTTACCTACAGACTGGCCCATCAGATCTCACGAAGGAGACCCTTGGTGTGAATTACAGGGCATTGAGTGATCTATTCAATATCTCTGAACAAAGAAAAGATGTTATTTCTTATGATATTTCAGTTCAGATGGTTGAAATTTATAATGAGCAAGTCAGGGATCTCCTTACCCCAGACGGAGTTAACAAAAAATATCCTTCTTGCACTTAACTTCTAAATACAGTTACTAATAGTTCCCTATCTGTTGGCCTCTTAAATGTTTGAACTTAACTTCTAAATACAGTAGAAATTCGCAACAGTTCCCAGAAGGGTTTCAATGTACCTGATGCAAATCTCGTTCCTGTAACATCAACTTCTGATGTGTTGAATCTGATGAACCTTGGGCACAAGAATCGTGCAGTGAGTGCTACTGCCATGAATGACAGAAGTAGTCGCTCTCACAGGTGCTGCTTATACATTTCTTTTTCCATTTTTCCTGTCTTAAGGGGAAAGGGTGGAAGTTCATGCTGATTTAAGTTCTTTTCCTTTGTATCTAAAATTTTTATGTTTGCACATTTACAGTTGCCTTACAGTTCATGTTCAAGGAAAAAACATGACATCTGGTACGATTCTTCGTGGCTCAATGCACCTCGTTGACCTGGCAGGAAGTGAAAGAGTGGACAAGTCAGAGGTGCTAGGTGATAGGTTGAAGGAGGCTACACATATCAACAAGTCTCTTTCTGCTTTAGGAGATGTCATTGCTTCACTTGCCCAAAAGAACTCACATGTTCCCTACAGGAATAGTAAGCTTACACAGTTGCTTCAAGATTCTCTTGGTAAGATCTTGTGTTCTGTAGCCATAAAATGTTTAGTTCCTCTTATTTCTGCTATTCAAGTTTTTGCATTCCTCTCTATCAGGAGGCCAAGCAAAAACTTTGATGTTCGTTCATGTAAGTCCTGAGCTTAATGCTGTTGGAGAAACACTTAGCACTCTGAAATTTGCTGAACGAGTTTCTACAGTTGAGCTTGGTAGTGCACGGGCGAACAAAGAGGGTTCTGATGTCAAGGAACTAAGAGAACAGGTTTCATATTTGCCATATTTTTGGTTTTCTGTGAACTTGTAGGAATGAACTGCTTTTCACGTCAAGTCTATAGTTGATATAACTAAGAATTGCATTTGGATTTTAAATATACCTCTTACCGTTTCTAGTTTTTGTCTAATTTCAAATCAATCAAACTACTAGTTTTTCCCCTTCCACAGATTTCCAGTCTTAAGGCAGCCCTAGCAAGGAAGGAGGAAGATCAAGGGCGTCGTCCACTTTCCAGATCAAGTACTCCCGAAAGAGTCAGAGTAGGATCTTCTGGATCTTCTCTTTCTTCTAGTTGGCATAGTATGGAAGATGTTAGTGGTAACATAGAGGTATAGTTTTTTGTATTTTCCTCATCTAGGTTTTTCCCTCGTATAAAATATATTTATTATTTTAACGCATTTCAAATTTTATGCTTCACTGCTTGCACATTGTAACTTTTATGATCTAGAATAGAAACACATCAATGACAGTTGCTCAAGAGTTTCATTTTGCTTAAATCACGAACCATTCTAAAACCTTGAAATCATTTAATAGTATTTTTTTAGATGTAAAATGTTTTTTGTTTTTAAAGATGTAAAATGTTATTATGCTCTGATTATCTCTCGTGTTTCTCTGACTTCTGGATAATTCAAGTCTCTTCAATTTAGTAAGCAATGATGCTAAGAACAGTCTTCCCCTTGTTATCTTCCTAATTACAGAACAAGCAAATGTATTTTTCTTTCTATGCAGTTTACTTGCACTGGAAGCTCAAAGTTGTTGATGTTTTCAAATCTTTTCTCAGGTTAAGAAGAAATCTACGTCAAAAATGAGAAGGCGAAGCTTAGATCCCAAAGACTTCCAGACAAATTCTCCTCTGTCTCCACCAGGCAATAATCCTGTATCAATGGAAGAGGACAGAGAATCAGTTTCTGGTGATTGGGTTGACAAAATTATGGTGAACAAGCAAGATGGTCTGAGTAGAAGTAATTCCTTAAGAGGATGGGAAGAAGAAACCAGGATTTCACCTGACCTGTTATATAGGAAATGCCCACCTGATAGTTCAAAGGTGTATCCAGAACAACATATAAACAACGTTGCAGGAAACATAAAGGAAGGCCAAGACTACGAAGCAAGTAGGACTCGGTCTGAAGCAGGTTCCATAGATGATTTCGATGACCTGGAAGCCGCAACAAGTGAGTCTTCTGAGCTTGAATACGGTTGGCAACCGAATCCTCAGAAGGTTAGTCAGACTCCTAATGGACTGGGATCCAAACTCAGAAAACCTAGTCCTAAGCAAGTGAAGAAGCCAGAAATAAGGTATTGTAGCTCATGAGTGCATTTAACTTGTTATTTTTGGGTGTGCCTCATCTTTATCCATTCTCCATTAAGTCTGTGTCTTTCTCATCTAAAAGTGTAAACTGAACACTTTTATCTGTTTATTAGGTCTGCAACATGAATAATTGTCAGTGGACACATGCTTTCTAAACCTTTAGCTTTTCTATATGCCAACTTAAGGAAGAGAACCAACCAAATATGTCAAATGAAATAACATGCATTCTGGTGTTTATCCACATTTATGACTAACCTGTTGCTATGTAAATCAATGCAGGAGCTTGATTCCTCCACCACCAACCAGGAGACTTTCTAATGGGTTAATCTCACCTTCTGCAAAGATGGGAAGAGCGGCTGCCTTAGAAGGAAAGCGAAAAACAGCAAGTGGGAAGTGGTAAATGTTCCTACTTAGCTGAGTTTGATGCTTAAGCAATCAAAGATGTGTATCTTTTTTTTCTTTTTTCTTTTTCTTTCTTTGTCAATCTTTTGCTCTGCATTCTTTAGAGTGAAAGAGAGCGGAGGGTATGGCAATAACTTCAGTTGCCAGCTTTTCCTCCAGTGGTGATGAGTTTTCAGTTGTTTATATGGTTGTTGGCTTGTTCTTCATTTTTTTTTTTTCCATTCTTTTGGACTGAGGAATGTAAAAATGCAGAAAATGAATAGAATTACAGATACCAATACATATGTTCCTGAAGTTTAGGATATGTTCTTTGGGGCACTGTGTCTCGAAATTCAAGACATTGGAAAGAAGAAGAAAGAACGATAATAATATATACATTTTGAAAAAAGATTAGTGTTATGCATAACACTAATTGCTGCACAAAGGAGTTATCATTTCTCAGAATGAAGCATTATATGTGCATAGGTTGTTACGCACATATTCTGTTTTTAGGTCAAATGTATCCACCAACTTGAAAGATTACCCTTTCGGATAACGTTAGAGTACTCAGCTTTGTTGTTTATTGATATTAGATTCATGATCTAAAAGAAATGTTATTTACTAAAATAGCTGTTGGGAAAAAGGACTACCGACGAAAATATTGATGAGGCCAACTAAAGCCCACTGAAAATTGGTATAGCCCAATATATATCCCTTTAATCATTAGTTTCCTACTGTGCCAGCTGAAAAGAGAAGTTGAAGGCCCACCGAGAATTTATTGGCCAACTTGCCAAACACAATGTCAAGTGCTTATCAACATGACATTTAGGGGTACAAAGAATAATAAATATAACTAATATATGTATTAATTATACATCTTATTCGAATATACTCTACCTAATACTCTAGGATATATGTATTTGTTTGTGTGTTTAAGAGTATTTTCTTCTTCTTCTTTTTTTGGTTGTTGTTGTGGGTAGGGCAAGAAATCCTTGGTGGATGAGCTAAGATTTTGTCGGTATGTTGGAACAAGCATTAAAGATGACTCATGTTATCTGGTTTATGTTTTTGGGTCCATTTGCCAACTTTACAAGTTATTAAACAAAGTTGGACTTTTTGTTATTTCCTAAATGAGGACTAAAGAACTAAAATGGGGTGATTAGTTTTATGCTGAAACTAAAATCAAATGAATTTACAATCTCAAAGATGAAATATTAGCTCCTCAATTATTTATGAACTGGTAATTATTATTATTATTATTATTATTTGGAGAGCAATAAGCATAGTCCTATGTAAGATGATTAAAGATCTTTTGAAACCCATTGATTACAAGTTGTCTCTTGGAGACATTAATTAGGTTTGATTACATTAATTGAACAAGGATGAATAATATGTTGTCAAAATCATGAGCCACTAGCTAGCTAAAGGATTGGTGTTATATTTATACGCATGCACATAAAAATCCTCGTATTTTCTATCACAAATTATAGGTTTAGAACAATATAATGCCTAGTGGCCCAACTTTATTTTTTTGTCAATATATATTGATCATAACAAATACTATACTTCTTTTATTGTATTTATTACAACTTATCCCTTTTGTTTTACTTCTATTTAGACTATGTTATGCATCCGAGGTAAAGCTAGAATTTTAGTTACAGATTTCGCATAATTTTGGAGTAGTTTACACTTAGATAGATTTTAAAAGTAACTCACTCTTTTATTGGTCATCATTCATCAACATATGCACTATACAGTATGCTTGAAGAGTTACAGTTGACTTTTAAACAATTTAAACTTGCTCCAAAATAACAACTAAATATGCTACATATGGGCCCAATTTGGTTCACCATCAGAAGTTAGTGCGCTCATTGTAGGAAAAGTGATGATCAAAAGGTCCCGATTAATTTAAATTCGATCCTTCTGATAACTTAGTTAGTTTGGAGGGTGGTCATCCATACAAATGATCTGAAATTGATCCTCTTTTAATATCTTCTAAGTCGAGTCTGTCGTGCATAGTACTTACCTAGTGTGGTATACATCCCTTAATAAGATTTATTTTTTAATTTAGGATTCAAACTAGACTTTTAATTAAGGGTGAAAGAAACATATTCATCCCTCTACAACCACATATTAGTCTATGGTCATTGGAGTACGTAGGTTATTCAAAATAGTACAAGTTTTCAAATAAAATTGAACGAAAATAAAAAGAAGAAAAGGGAAGATATGTATATAACGAGAAGATAATTCAAAATATACATATTTATACTTGTGATTATCAAAACACCAACAATAATGGATTGGGACAAATAATTTCATTTCGTGATGTCCAAATTTATCATATAATATCTATGTAATTCGTTTATATTTTCTTTCTATTATTAATTAAAGTAAGAAGAAGAGAACAAAGTCCACTTGACAACCTGGAAAATTATATTTGGGTGGAAGAAAGAAGTTTCAAAGATGGAAATAGTAATTATTCCTGAGAAATCTCAATTTCAAGTTTAGAAAGCGTTTTATACGTTAACACAAAATTTCTTATCATCAATTCAAATTAATTAAGCCTCAAAAATTTATAATGAATACCAAACATCGGATAAAAAACAAACAAAAAAAAACTCAAGTTGTAAACGTTATAGTTTTGTACAGCTATGTCCATGATAGGTGATACAATATCCCACGTGGGTCCCATAAAACACATGGCCATGTCAGCAAATTCCTTATAACCCATCTTTTCACTTTTTCTTTTCTTTTCTTTCTTTAGGAAAGGACCCACAAAAACATCCTTCTAATTTTTCCATCTCCCCTAAACAATTACTTCATCCATTTCAATTTATTTATCTGATTTTAACTTGATATAAAATTTAAGAAAGTAAGAAATTTTTTAAATCCTATGCTTGATAATTAATAATATGTAGAATGTATTAATTATGTCATGTGAAAAGTTATTTAAAAAAAAATTCTTTTTTAAACAAATTAAAAACGAAGTAAGGAAAACAAATCAAAACGTTATGTTTTATTTTAATGCATATTTGTGAATTGAAAGAAAATCACTATCAATGGTAGCTGTTCACATGGTTTTGTAAACCGAAAGAATCAATCATATTTCTAGATAGGAATAGATAGCCATTTTTAGATTTCTTCCAAAGATCAACTATCTTTGTGTTACTTTCACATTTTTTTTTGTTTTCATCTCATCAATCACCATCAATTATAGTTGTTCATCATGTATATATATATATTTTTTATATTTATATTTTTATATTTTATATTTTATATTTTATATTTTATATTTTATATAATTAGCGTGTATGCAAAGAAAAAGAAGAAGGAATGGATGAGATCAACTTCTTAAAATCTCTATCCCCATTTCTTGTAAACTTCTAAACACTTTTTTTTTTTTGGAAACTTTTGTTAAAAAGCTATGCGAAGGGAAATATTGTTTTTTTTTCTTTTTCGTTCGGTATCATAACTCAGATAGTAGTATCTCTTTTAGAGATCCTATTAATTTGATGTGTTGTGTAAGGTTTATTAAAATGAAAAATATTTCGATGGCTTGAACTCACAATCTCTGATTAATGAAGATGTTTTCTAATTTGAAAATTATAACCCATTATAGTAGTTGAAATATTCAGTTATTGCAAAATGTTCACCCCGTCATACGAAAAAAATTCTTAACTATATTGTAAAAGTAAATAAAATCACAATGATGATTTGAAACGATGATCACAAAACACAATATCTTTTTTAAAAGTTAGAGCCCATTCAAATGATTAGTGGTGTTTGCCACAACATCATAATTTCTTACCTAAGTTAACAAGAGAGACACCACTAACTACCCTTTTTTCATCTAAGCATGTTACTTCCGTATAGCTCCTACCAAATCATCACCTACATCTTGACTCTTAATTAAACTTGTAAAATTCTAGAGTATAGCTTTGATTGGCCATCATTATAATTAAGACACTATTACCAATAAAAATTTTCTCTTTAATTTGATCAAATAACACTCCATGTTCAATATGTCTGTTTTTTTTAGTTCCCTCCATCATTTCCTACATAAATTAACAAAAAAGATAACCACACTAATTACCTTTCATCAATATCCAAGCATGAGCTTTTGCCCACTAGCTCCTGCCTATTCATCATCAATATATACACCTCAATTATTCAGAAAATACTTCTGTATACCAAAAATATACAGAAAATACAGAATTACAGGAAATACAGAAAATACAGAATAGCTAGTTAACAGGAATTATTAGAACTAATACAGCAGAACAGTAGAATAGCAGAAATTCAGATTTTTGTAGAATAACAGAAATTCAGATTTTTGTAAATCCTACTCAGTACTCCCTCTCACTCGTGTCTAGTCATGTTTATCTCATATATATCCTGTTTTTCCTTTTTTTTTTTTTTTTTTTTAAGTTTCTACCCCGTTCATCTCTTACTTTTAACTTGTATTCTTAACAACTTCTTCATTAACCCCACCCCGGAGAAAGCCAACAATATGTCCTGTGATTTAGGCGGACTTGTTAAGGCCTTAGAAATATCCTAGGAATTTACAGGTTAATCCATCGTTGTTATTAAGAAGTTAAAAGTCTAACCATATACTAAGGGTAGTTTTATACTACAAACACATTTACATACAAACATACTTTACATATATTTTTGGGGAAAATTATAGGAAAGAGACTTACATGACTTAGACGGAGAGAGGTTTCCCTTTCGGGAACCCTGACTTACACTTACACGCTTAAAATAAACTTTTTTACAGGCTAGATATTAAGAGGAATTTTTAGGAGTGTTTGGAGGTAGTTGTGGAGATGGTTTTTCTGAACATTGGGAAGGGGAATATGTTGTGTCTTTTTCTGGTTTTTCTTTCTTGTTTTTCTTAAGTGTGGAGAAGTGTCTTTATATAGAGGTTGAGGGGGACTTAACGTAAAACGTGGAAGAAACCTAATGGCCAAACGTGGCCGACGCACTAAAATAATGGAATAAAAAGTAACGGCCTAAAATTGGCCGACACTTTTACAAGATTAGCTCAAATAATTCATGCCGGGTACACATTTGGGCCCCATCGCACATGCATTATTTTTGCTTTACAAGACTTTTACACAGAAAATAAGACAGACGCGTGCTTATCAGTTTTTTCCTCTTTGGAGGATAGTGATAAAGTAAGCACTCACAAGACAAACGTGGGCATACCCACATGGCACACTTTTAT